TCTTCCCTATGGGTTCTTGACTGAAACAGAAAGCAGCCCCAGGCAAATCCTTCTGACCAGGCGAAAGCTGCCCCCTCTTTTTTTTTTTTTAAAGAGTCTTTTTTTTTTTTTATAGATTTTTATTTATTTATTTGACAGAGAGAGAGATAGCGAGAGCAGGAACACAAGCAGGGGGAGAGGGAGAGAGAGAAGCAGGCTTCCCGCCGAGCAGGGAGCCCGATGTGGGGCTCGATCCCAGGACCCTGGGATCATGACCTGAGCCGAAGGCAGACGCTTAACGACTGAGCCACCCAGGCGCCCAAGCTGCCCCCTCTTAAAGTGTTAAATGAAGATGATGGCTATAGGGCGGGCATGATAATTCCCATTCTCCAGATGAGGACACTGAGGAGGCCGGAAAGGAAAGGAAAAAAGTGACTTGCCCCAAAGTCTGTCCACAGCAGAGGCAAGGTTGGCTCCGGGTGAGGGCTCCCTCCCTGCCCTTTGATCCTCTGCTGCTCTGGATGCCGTGGGTGAAGGTGGAGGGAGTGCATGCTGGCCAAGACCAGGCTGCCTCCTCCTTCCCCAAGCCCCTGCTCCCCTGGCCACCCAAGGGATGGCCCTTTAGCTCAGCGAGGAAAAAGGAGGTCAGAAGCAATAGGTAACTTCTAGCCTTGCTAACACTGGCTCTGTGTGGCCTGACCACCCCACGGGATGTTAAGAGCCAAGAAGGCCTCAGAATCCCAGGCGCCCGTCCCCAGGCCTGCCTCAGGCACTGGTCAGGGCTCAGGGACTTAGCCCTTAAGTAAATGTTTATTAGCGGATTTAGCAATAAGTAAAATTGACATGTATTAAGCACTGAGCATAATCATGAAATTAGGCTTAGCGGCAACCCCTGGAACAGGGGAGGGAGTGTGGGCCCGAATGGCAGAAGCTTCTGAGCACCTTCTTCTCACCTTTTCTGGTTCCTCTGCAGGTCGGGGCCGCCACAGTCACGCTGGCCAGCCCAGCCTCCATATGGAGGCCCAGCCAGCATTCTGGGAGAAAACACAGAGGGAACAAGCAGTTGGGGCCCCCGATAGCCACTTGCTTCCCACCGGGGCTCAGGCCAGAGACTAGCAGAGCTGGTCAAACACTGAGAGATTCCCCTGAGAGGACTCAGTAAAGGGGGAGTTACCTTTACTGAGATAAAGGTACCCACCGTTACCTTGCAGTTATCATTCTTATTAGCCAAGAGCATGGGCCTGGGGGAGGAAGAGTCATTTCCAGAAACTGGGTACTGACTCCCACCTTCCTCCATGTGGGCTTCGTCCCACATCCCACCCTGCAGAGTCAGCCCAAGTGTCCCCTCCTCCAGGAGGCCTTCCCTGGTGTCCCTCACCCCCGGTAGGTTAGACTCCCCTCCTGGGGTTCATGATTCTGTGCACCCCACCCCCCTCACAGCGTCTATCTCTACGAGTTACAGGTGTTCTTTTTCTTACCTGAGAGCTCAGTGGGGACAGGGAGCGATCAGTCGGATCAAACTAACAATATATGTATATACTATGTATATAGTATCACAACAAACATAGTAACTCTATCCACATTCCTCTTACCACGCATGTGGCCCTGGCCTACCTGTATGCTTCCCATGCACTGACTCTCTGGGGGCCCCCTCCCCGGAGGGCCCCAGTATTACTCCACTTTACAGATAGGGAAGTCTGGCTTCTCATCCTTGCGGTGCTGTGCACGCAGGCTGTGTTCTTGCGCAGGCCACTTACCCCTTCGGAGCCTGTCGTCCTGGCCCCTGTGCTTGGAAGCTCTGCTCCACAGGCCTCCTGCTTCCGGTTTTATCCCCACGCTCCATGGGTTGGTGTTCTCGGGTGACGTTTGCTGTGGAGTCCCCTGGGGCCATTTAAGACCATTTTGAGTCAGAGAAGCAAGGACTCTGTCTCCTTGCCACCCCAAGCACTGGGCCTCCCTCATGCTCTCCTCCCCAGCTCCCCAGTGGTCCCAGGCATGACACCTCCATCCTTTTCATCACCCTCCCCTTCCCCTGAAGCACACGCTGCTAGGTGTGCGGGTGCTGCCACCTGGTGGTCACAGGCCGCCAGGACATGGTGGGGTGGCTGCCGCAGGCTTGGCTGGCTGCAAGCTGGCCCCTCTCTCTAGGCAGTGCTCTGCCCGCCGGCCAGGTGGAGCACGTTTGCAGGAGGCAGGATAGCTGGACTGCAGAGAATGCCAGCTAGAAGGCACGGCAGCTTCCTGATTAGGCCCAAGAGCGCTGCAGAATGGGTCCGAGTCCTAGTTCTGCTGCTTCGCAGATACGAGACCTTGGGCTAGTCGACTGATCCCTGGGAGCCTCAGCTTCTTCACCTGCCAAATAGGTAACCTTGTCCTCCTCTGTTGGGTCCACATGCCCCAGCCATCACCTGGAGATTCTTCCCAGAGCACCCCTTTAACTTCATTATCATTTAAAATGGAATTTATGTTAAATTCATGCAAATGAGGTATTCAACTCCAAATTACGTTCTTTTTTTTTTTTTAAGATTTTATTTATTTTTTTGAGAGAGAGAGAGAGAGCACATGAGAGGGGGGAGGGTCAGAGGGAGAAGCAGACTCCCCGCCAAGCAGGGAGCCCAATGCAGGACTCGATCGTGGGACTCCAGGATCATGACCTGAGCCGAAGGCAGCCGCTTAACCGACTGAGCCACCCAGGCGCCCCCAAATTACGTTCATTTTAAGCAAAACCTGGGGCCTTCTGAGAATCTGGGGTTTGTGCAAGCTGCCAGGCTGCTCCACCAGCCCCTCTCACCAGAGGCGTCTACCCGCTCTTCTGTTGTTAAGGGTTCGACCACGAGCAGCTCTCATGCACCACCTTCTTAAGCCCGTTCTTGGCACTTGGCGTGGATCTCAGCACACACAGCAACAAATCATCCTGATTTCGCAGAGTAGAGCTCGGTTCAGGGAGGCCGAGTAACTTGTTTGCATTCACGCACTTGCTAGAAGAAGGAATCAAGCCTCACACCAGAGTCTGTCTGATACGAGAATCCTCGCCTGCCCACCATTATAGAAAGCTCTGGAAGCTGTTGTTCTGTCCTGAGTTCCCCAAGCAGCACATGACAGGGACATTTGCTCACTGATGTACACTCCTCAGTGTCCCAACACCAACCAAAGAAGGGCCTCCTGGGCCAAGGGGGCCAAGAAGAGTGCAACCAGCACCTCCACTCCCCCTGCTCTCCCTCTCCCCTCAGGGGCCTGCCAGCCAGTGACCTGCAGGACTTGGGCAGGACTTCCGGCTCGCCTTCGGAAGATGCAGCCCGGGCAGGACTTCCTCGTAGCAGCTGAATTCCCTGGCTGTTTCAGTTCTCTCTTTCTGGGAACTGCTCTGAACCAATTTACTGAGGTCACAGGGGTCACGAACACATCTCCTCTACCCACCTACTCTCCCACGCCAGGGCTGGGAGCATGGACCTAGACCATGGTGGCAGGGTGTTGTGGGGACACCGTGTCCCATCCCTACGGGAGGAAAACTAAGGTCCAGAGAGGGGATAGGGCTCACTCAAGGTCATGCACCAAGGGGCAGCAAAGCCCCTGCCCGGCTCTTACCTATTGCCCACTGCCCTGGGTTCCCCAGGGGAAGGCTGACATCCTGTGTGGACCCCTATGGGGACAGGCCTCCTGCACACACCTGGCCCAGCTCTGTGCATGCTGGAGCTTAGAGACATAGTGGAGAACATGGACAATGGGGAGGCAGCCTGTAGTTGATGCTTGCTTTCCTCCAGGGACAGATACACTTCCCGGCTCTGGGGAGCCCCTCTGGGGTGGTCTCACACTGGCTGGGATACACAGGGATGGATGACTGTTTCTAGATCTTCCTATTGTCCTTCTCAGTTACTAAGCAACCAACTAGAGTCTAAATGCTCAGAAGAGAGAAAGCAGACTAGGCCCTGAGTCGTGCCCAGAGGAGCTCAGCCCCCAGGGCGTGGCCAGCCGAGATCTCCGGGGCTATAAGGGTCACCCCTGAGGAACGGGTAAGCAGTGGATCTGGGGACAGTGAGGCAGATCGGGGCCACCTGCGCACTGCACCACCCACCTACATGCCCTCCAAGAGTCCCCAGGATAGCCTGGGTTTGATGGGAAAAGGAGAAAGGATTATAAGCTGATTTGTTCCGGGGCCTTGGGCCAGGGACTGCCCCTCTTAGGGCCTCAGGTGTCCCCTGTATAAGATGGGCATGTCTCCTGCCTGCTTGGTGGGTACAGGGAAGGCTGTATGAATACACTGGTGGACGGTGAACACGTGGGCCATGTGAAGGGTTAGCACCGTGGTGACACTGGGGCACTTTCAGGATGGCCAGGGTCCACAGTGCTGGGCCAGCATCCATCGTGGTCTCCTCCAGGCTGCCCTGGGAGGCCAGCAGAGCCCAGGAGGGGTGGGCAAAAAAGATGGCTTTTCTGCTCTCCTCCAAGACAGACTGCCCACCGTGAGCAGCCGTTACCCCTGCCCCCTGAGGCCCTGCCCTTCCATGACACTCCATGCACGGCTCTGTTGCCCACAGCTCCCTCGGTCACTCCCGGTCCAGCCATAATGCTCTCCTCACAGTCACCCACGTAGGGGGGGTTCCCCTCACTGACCCTCTACTGAAAAAGCCTCTCCTCTCTAAGAGGCCTGGGATGCCTTCGCCCTCACCCGCTTGGCAGCGGAGAAGAGGAACTCTACCAGCTACCAGGACTGGACACAGCTCTCCAGGTCCGTGAGGACGGGCCACGGACACAGGCAGTGCTGACACCCCACGGGGAACCCCACCTCTCAGGGGCCTCTGCTAGCAAAGATCCCAGGCTGGGGTTTCTCAACCTCTCGGCCCTGGGCTTGCACTTCTGCAATGGGAAATAACACTTCCATTTTCTTTCCTGAAGGGAAAAAGGAAGAAAGCAGCGACACGGATGAATGACGTGACACATCACATCCCCGCGCTGCAGCTGTAACCGCCAGCCCAGGCCCACCCCGGCTCCCAGCCACGTGCTCCTGAGAGCTCACAGCTGCAATGTCAGGCGCAGATGGGCCCCTGGCAGAAAGGTAGGTGAAGGTCAGGGGGACTGGAGCCACACCAGCCAGGGGAGAGGGCCTGGTGGGGCCAGGAGCAGGGCCCCCGCTGGCTTCTCGCCAGGCGCCTGTCTTCCTACAGTCCCGCCCCAGACACAGCACTGGGCGGGCTGCTTTCTGCTTCCCCAGAAAACCCGGGGGGTCTTAGAGACAATGCGGGGGCCTCATCAGGCCCATCTTATACAGGGGACAATTGACTGAAGGGCAGGGCCTCAGGGGGCCTCAGGGGCTCTGCCCTGGCAGGGGATTTCTGTCAGCTCTGGAGTGCTAAGTGGAGCGGAAGAGTAACGTCTCCTGAGCAGTGGTGAACCCTAATTTCTGCGGGATTCTCTCGGGATCCTTGTGCCGTAGGATCGAGTCCCGGAAGTGAACTCTGAATTTCTGGCCAGGCCTGAGGACTTGGACACCCAGCTCGGCTGTCCTGGGCCCAGCTTACCTTCCGTACCTCAGGAGGAGGTTTCCCGCAGGCTGGGGCCTGGGATGTGGATGGAGACACGTGCATGTCTGCGCTTTAGGAAGAGGGAGGGTCCTGAGGGGCCCGGCCCTCACTATCCGAGTGGAAGGTCCTCACTATTCGCCGACTTCAGCCAGAAGATAGAAGGGGCCGAGGGTCCGGGACTCGGACTACCTGTGACAGGCTTCCAGTCCCACAGCCCTTAAGGACCAGGCTCTCATTTGCAGTATACCAAAACCTGATTTCACAGGATTTTCTTTTTCTTTTTTCTTTTTTTTTTTTTTTTAAGATTTTCTTTATTTATGTATTAGAGAGCGAGAGAGAGAGAAACAGCATGAGAGGGGAGAAGGTCAGAGGGAGAAGCAGGCTCGCCGCTGAGCTGGGAGCCCGATATGGGACTCGATCCCAGGACCCTGGGATCATGACCTGAGCTGAAGGCAGACACTTAACCAACTGAGCCACCCAGGCGCCCTCAAAGGATTTTCATGTGTGTGTGAGCATCTCCTCATTTAACCATTTGCCAGATGTGCCCCCAGACAGATGTTGTGGCCAGGCCCGGTGAGCACAGGGCAATGGGACACAGAGCAGCCGCTCAGACCACAGCCTGCCCCCGGGGGGCCTCAGAGACAGCAGGAGGAGCAGAGCTCAGGAAAGACAGGACAAGGACCCACGTGACTCTGGTGTGTTATGAGAAACTGTGCTGAATGGAGGTGTCCAGAGGGGGTCAGAGGGCAGAGAGAGGAAAAGAGCTTCATAGGAGAGGCCACATTTGAAATGGGTCTTTAACGATGAGTGGTATTTGGGCAGAGTTTGGGACAGAAGATGACTTCTTAGCAGAGAAAATACTGTAGGCTGAAGCCTGGTGCCGGGAAAGTATAGGATTAGTTATTCAAATCCACTCATCCCTTGGTTCCCACTGAAGGCGGTGGCAGGTTCCGCACCATATGGGGTTGGTGGATGTGCCAGAGAGTTTATATTCCTCAAATCCATGCGGGAGCAAAGCCAACTGTTGTAAGCAGCCTTACTGCATGTGCCAGTAAGATTCTAAAGGACAAATTACCAGAGGTGGAGTGGCTGGGACAAAGGATGTGTGCATTTCTCACCGTGGCAGCCTTGTTACTTGGCCTCTGCAGAGCCCCTGTTGGTTCTTGAGCGAGATCTCCCGGCGCTCTCCACCTTCTCAGGATCTGCCTTCTGCCCATATAGGGAGACATTCATGCCCAAAATGCACTTGGCGTGGTGCCAGGCCCATAGAAGCACTTGGAACATGATGGCTGTTTTTATTCTTTCTCTGGGTCTCCAGGCAGCCTTTCTGGGCCCCCGGCAGCCAGCTGGGCTTCCCGATTCTGTGTCTGTCCACAATTCCTGCTGCTAGAAGCCTCTGTCTTCTCCACCAGCTGGGCACTCTGGAGATCAGCAGCTTCTTCTCCTGTTGCCTGTGCTCATTCCCAGCAGCCGATCGGTGCCTGGCTCAGGCAAGGGCTCAGCAAGGGTTTTTTGTGTGACTATTGGATACAGGGCAGGTGTATCCTATCTGCCTGTCCTTCCCTTCCCGTGAAACAGGGCCAGATTGTCTCCAAATGATAGTGAGCCACCAAAACCACACCATGAAAGCTGGTATGCCTTATGCCTTGCAAAGACAAGGACAGGCATCCTTATATTACAGAAAAGAAAGCTAAAGCTCAGAGTGGGTGAGTGGTTAAGTCCTACTCACAGAGCGTGCTAGAGGTGAAGCTGAGGCTAGACCCAGCGGGGCTGACCTTCCACACCAGCTCTAGCCTTGGCGCCATCCTGACTTGGACAGAATGACCAGATCCACACTCGGTGCTCTGCTGTGCTTGGCTGGAGGTGGTTCAGGGTCCCTGAGCTGGGCAAGCATGTTTAGGCTCAAATCACATTTTTTGGTCTGTGCTCCATTCTTCCCAGGCTCGTGTCCACAGAGAGGGCCCTCACGGTCCTGCATGTGAGCCTGCATCACCCCGCGCAGGACCCGGACACCTTTGCCAACGTCCCAGCACGGCTGTAGCATGACACCAGCCCGCTGCTGGTGGGGCGCGGCCCGGATGCCCACCTCCGGCTACAGCTCCCCCGCCTCTCCCGCCGACACCTGTCGCTGGAGCCCTACCGGGAGAAGGGCAGCGCTCTGCTGACCTTCTGCCTGAAGGCCCTGAGCCGCAAGGGCTGCGTGTGGGCCAACGGGCTGACTCTGAGGTTCCTGGAGCAGGTTCCCCTGAGCGTGGTCAACAGGGTCGCCTTCTCCGGCATCCAGATGGTAGTCCGCGTAGAGGGAGGCACCTCCCTGGAGGCTTTCGTCTGCTGCTTCCATCTCAGCCCCTCGCCCCTGATTCACAGGCCCCAGGCTGAGGAGACTGATGAATGGGAGAGCACCTCCCAGGAGCAGCTTCCCCCAAGTTCAGGGCACTGGGCTCCAGGTCACCTGGGGCTTCTCCATGGCCGTTCCCTGCCAAGCCCTGGAGGAGGAGCAGAAACACAGCTCTAGAAGGAGACCTCAGACAGCGCTTGCCCCGCCGGCTGCCCAGAGCAAGCCTCACCCGTAAGAGGACTTGAACTCTTAGAGCGACACCACGCGAGGTTGACAAGAAAGACCTGCTTGGTAATAATGAACTGATTGGGCAAACACGAACAGCCTGGGGTGGGGGAGCGCCCTCCACGGTTACAGCTATGCCAGGTAATGGGAACTTCATATACTTTTAGAGGCCCTGAGGGGTTCTGAGAGCCTCTCTCAAGCCTTTCCCCACATTTCCCTCCTCTTGTCTGCCTAGGAGTTACTTTATGTTGCTAATTTCGCCTGCTGCTCAAGAGCTGGAGTTTGAGGTTGCACCAGGAATGCATGGACACATGTAACAATTACGTTTGTGGTAGCTCGGGGTTACCTTGGCCTTTCAAATACCCACAGGCACTCCGGGCTTAGGGAAGCCTGTGTTTAATAAACTGCAAGTATTTCATTAAGCTGGCATACCCAGTAGGATTCCCTGATCCCCAGATGGGCTGCATGCGCGCCACGTTGTCACAGAGGCGGGGGCGGGGAAATAGAGAAGAGGTGTAAGAGGAAATTGGAAAGGTGGGGGCTCACATTTCTAGAAAGGATGCGGGCAGAGCTCAGGGTTTCCTGGGGGTGGGGAGCTGGGGGCTGGGCCTGCCTGGAAATCCGTTGTCCCGGTCATCCTCGAGTTCCCTCACTCTATCATTTCTGGATCAAAGCCTTGGCTGATTAGAGGGCCAGGTCTTCAGGGAAAGGTAGCTTCCCAGAGCAATGGGCTCTTTCAGGACTAATTCTATGAGAGGGCGGGGAGGGAGGTTGTGGAAGAATTTAGCTCAGCCGTTATTTTACTCAAAGTGGGTCATATACCAATGGGGGTGGGGTAGTCTTTCAAAAATAAGGGACAACTAGGGGCGCCTGGGTGGCTCAGTCGTTAAGCGTCTGCCTTCGGCTCAGGTCATGATCCCAGGGTCCTGGGATCGAGCCCCGCATCGGGCTCCCTGCTTGGCGGGAAGCCTGCTTCTCCCTCTCCCACTGCCCCTGCTTGTGTTCCCTCTCTCGCTGTCTCTCTGTCAAATAAATAAATAAAATCTTAAAAAAAAAAAAGGGGGACAACAGCCCCCACTCTCCATGTCATCCTAGTGGCAGTGGGGGTTGGAAGTGTCATTTAGAAACAGCGTTCATGGGCACCTGGGTGGCTCAGTTGGTTAAGCGACTGCCTTCGGCTCAGGTCATGATCCTGGAATCCCCGGATCGAGTCCCACATCTGGCTCCCTGCTCAGCATGGAGTCTGCTTCTCCCTCTGCCCCTCCCCCCTCTCATGTGCTCTCTCTCTCTCTCGCAAAAAAAAAAAAAAGAAAGAAACAGCGTTCACCTGTGTAAAGAAGGGAGGGGCCTACAAACTCAGGTGGTCATCATCATCCTAGAGCCTGCTCTAGGATATCTGAGACACTGAGGCCATGGTGCTGCCAACCAACTGGCTCACAGCCTCAGGCCTCTTACCACGTCCAACAAGGCTTTCAACACTCTCTACTTTCCACCCGAGAAGAAAAACCCTTTTGCACCCCAGGCAGGCTACAACGAGATTCAGCTACACTGCCAATTCTTCCCGGGGAAGATAGCATTGGGCGGAACTCAGGCCTGTCCTGGCTGGGGAAACTTCCCTTCTAATAGGGAATAAGGCAAGGACACTGAGATTACAGACACAAGGCACAGGAGGGCAAGGGCTGCAAAGAGAGGGGGCTGTCCAATATAATGAATGACCCCTCGGGGCCCCCAAGCAGTCCTTCACTCAGTCATTCAACAAACTTTCACCAGATGTGAGGCAAAGCCCCAGGAACCCACAGTGAACTAGGCAGGCAAAGTCCCTGCCCTCAGAGAACTTACATGGGCTCACGAAAGACACCTGTGGAGGAGTTAATCCCTTCATTATTTGATCCACTGTTACTGGTGCTCTAAATATGTTTTCGGTCTTCCAGCTGGGGTTAGCATTCCCTGTACCATTAAGTGGCCATGTCTGCTGAGTGCTTACTGTGTGCTCAGTGCTTTGCCAGGTGCCATGTGCCTTGCTCAGCTGAATCCTCAAAACACCCGGACAGATCATGGTATTAACACATTGTATCGATGAGGAAATCAAGACTTAGAAAGGGTATCTTGCCCAACATCATGTCACTCACTAGCTGTGTGATCTTGGGCAAGTGACTTAGCCTTCTCTTGTCTCCATTTGTCCCGCTGGAAAGTGGGTAAGATAATAGTACCCATCCACCGGGGCTGTTATGACGGTCTTAGGAGGGGGCATGTGTAAATCTCGTAGGGAAACATCTGTCACACAGTAGGCACTCAGTACGGGTTAGATACCTACCATGGTGAGACCTAAGAGAGGGAGCATAATAGGTCCATAGCCAAGGGCTCACCTGGGATGCATATATGGAGCTAGAGGCGGTTGGAAGCCTGGCAGACCGGCTGCAGAGCCCAAGAGCGCACCTGCATTCTGTGATCACCTGATAAAGGGTTTTGTCTTTGCCGGAGACCCGGTGGGCAGTCAGGAGGGGGCTTTCACCTGTTGCTCACACCAGAAGGCCCAGTATTCAGAGTTTGTAGGATGGGAGACACCCTGTGAGGTCTGGCAAGCAGAAGAAGCCCACTGTTTTGGAACTGCCTTTATATGTCACACACAGATCCTCAGTGTAGCGATGATCCCTCCAGAGACCAAGATGTTCCCCAACTCGGCTAGGGAGCAGCCGTGCACCTACAGAACTGGGAACCCACAGCCTGGACACTACACCTGATCTTCGAAGGCAGAAGAGAGGAAGCTGGCTGGGGCCATGCACCCCGGAGTCCCAGGGGGCAACTCCCCCACTGCCCTTGAGAGGGTCCTCTCCCCTCCAGGAAACAGCAGCAATCCCTCCCAGCTGGGGGTCTCTGAGAGGAGACAAGCTGCCTCCAGATGAGGAGTCTGAGGTTCAGAGTCAGGCGTCCCGGCGTCCCTCCGAGAGCACAGGATGAAGCGCAGGGCATGCTGAAGGACGTGAGCCAGAGACAAGGCAGGAGGGAGCCAAGACATATCCCGCTTGTTTCAGACTCTGTTGATTCACAAACTCTCCTTGCAAAACTCCCGGCTTGCCTCGCACCAGCAGCAAAGCTCTGGCCCAGGCTAGATTCCATTTTTCTTGAGTAGAGAACCGCTCAGATCACCAGGTCCCTGCACCCACTCCCATTTTCACACCTGACACCCCTTTCCTTGGCCTGCAGAGACAGCTTGAGCAGGTCACAGAGACCCTGCCAGCAGTGAAAGCTTTCTCTCGCTCCCATGCGTGCGGGGCAGTGCACGCAGGTGAGGGGTGCGCGTGCATGCCCGCACCGACACAAGCCATCCGCGCCCGCTGGGGTGTCTCCCGCCCGGGGCCTCGGTTGGAATTCCTGCTCTACTGCGCCCTAGTTCTGTGACCTTGAATGAGGGACCGAATTTCCCTGCTCAGTTTCTTCTGGAAACCGGGAAAGGTAACAGCTGGCCATGGTGGTAAAATGAAGACCGCATATAAAGCACCTAGGGCAGCGCCTGGCACATAGTAAGTGTTCGATTGCCGAGTTAGCTTTCATCGTCTAGTCCAAGGGACCGAACTGAATGCAGGCAGACCCAGAGTCTCAGCTCACACACACACACACATCCGCTACAAAGAGCTACATCAGCTACACTCAGGCAGCCCCCAGAGCACTACAATTCTGAGACCACATCTGGAAATCTAGGAAATCATCCCCTGTGCCCTTTCAGGCATTTTAACCCTCCCGGTCCTCTGCTTTTCCAAAATGGGAGTCTTCCCAACCTGTCTGTAAGTGAGACACTGCAGCCCCCTGAGCCCCGTTTTGAGGGAGACCCGAGAACCCCCCATAAATATGCAGGGCTCTGAGGCACGAGCAAGCACCATGAGGCTGTGATGGCAGACGCATCAGACAGCGCAGTCCTGGCTGTGGCCTAGAGCAAGGGAGGCCACAGCTGGGCACCCGCAGTCCCACGCAGGACATCAGGATGCTGTAGCCATCGTTTTTGTTGCCCTGTGAGACTCTGGGCTCCACGGAGATGGGGACCACGGGTTGTCTGCCGTTGTGTTCCTGGTGGCCATCAGGGAGCTGGCCAGAGAACGGCTGGACAGACAGATGGGCAAGGAAGCGGTCATGAGCCAGGCAGGCGAGGGCATGGCCGAGGCTTATAGTGATGGGACAAGAGACGGGCCGGCTGGCTGGGGCAGCAAGGCTCCGAAGCCGTGGGCAGACAGTAAGTCTCTGCCTGCTCTAGGCCCCGGTGGGGAGAGCCCAGATCCTCTAGCTGGGGCAGAACGCGGCTGGTGCTTCTCCCCGGTGCTTGAGCCTCTGCAGCCCAAACCAACCCAGAAATCTGGGTTTTGGGAATTCTGTGCGACAGCTGTGGGAGGTTGACAGATCTGACAGGTCCCCAAGTCACTGAGGATAGCTCTCAGGCAGCACTTCCTGCCCTAAGCAGAAGCACAGAGCCCCCCCCCCCCCCACACACACTCTAGGAACACACCGCCTCCCTAAGCCAACACCCCACCTGCACAGACCAGAGCTGTCCCATCAAGAGATTCCCTGTGGTACAGAAAGCTAAGAGGTCACACTGCGGGAGGCATCCACATTTTCAAAGAAAGGACCAGAGAGGATGATGTCTACTCTGAAGGAGTGGGTTTTGCTGTAGAGAGAGTGGCATTAAAGATTTCACAGGAGGCCAATAAAGGAAACATTTCCCTTTCCCCTCAAATGGTCACTTAGCCAGGGCCTGCCTCAAGGTCTGCCTGTGACTAAGTAGAGCTGAGACGGGGTTCTTTTTTTTTTTTTTCTTTTTTTTCTTTATTTTTTTATCCCCATACGTTACATCATTAGTTCTAGATGAAGTGTTCCATGATTCATTGTTTGTGCATAACACCCAGTGCTCCATGCAGAATGTGCCCTCCTCAATACCCACCACCAGGCTAACCCATCCTCCCACCCCCCTCCCCTCCAGAACCCTGTTTGTTTTTCAGAGTCCGTCGTCTCTCATGGTTCGTCTACCCCTCCGATTTTCCCCACTTCATTCTTCCCCTCCTGCTACCTTCTTCTTCTTCTTCTTTTTTTCTTAACATATATTGCATTATTTGTTTCAGAGGTACAGATCTGAGATTCAACAGTCTTGCACAATTCACAGCGCTTACCAGAGCACATACCCTCCCCAGTGTCTATCACCCAGCCACCCCATCCCTCCCACCCCCCACCACTCCAGCAACCCTCAGTTTGTTTCCTGCGATTAAGAATTCCTCATATCAGTGAGATCATATGATACATGTCTTTCTCTGTTTGACTTATTTCACTCAACATAATACCCTCCAGTTCCATCCACGTCGTTGCAAATGGCAAGATCTCATTCCTTTTGATGGCTGCATAATATTCCATTGTATATATATACCACATCTTCTTTATCCAGTCATCTGTCGATGGACATCTTGGCTCTTTCCACAGTTTGGCTATTGTGGACATTGCTGCTATAAACATCGGGGTGCACGTAGCCCTTCAGATCCCTACTTTTGTATCTTTG